CCCCCCCCCCCCCCCCCCCCCACAAAAAACTCTTTTTAAGTTCTGCATAAGATGAATTAGCAGCAGCTTTTGGCTGTGACAGAATTAAACCTTTAGCTGTGGGCCTGCAAAGACATGGTGAGAGAAGTCAAGGAGTGGACTCCTCCCCTCCTGTAAGTATCCGGTATTCAGCCATAGTGAGCCTGTACTATGGCTCAAATATATTGCCTGGACTATACCTAAGCAAGCTTTTCTTCCAGGTAACACATATTTATCATAAGCAGCAATCCGGGTTTTCCATTTGCCACAGAAAAATGTGGTAAAACCTGGATTTTCTCCTTTAACAGAGAAAAATGAGAGAAAAGGTGGGTTTGCTCTTGCAGCACGGAGAGAAACTCTGGGTTTGCTCTTCCCGGAACCCAGAGTTCCAGGAAGCAGGGCTGGCTCCTGCCTGTTGCATGCACTCCTGTATGGGAGCATGGGGGGGGAACATGCCCCCAGATTTGTGCACAGGACCGGGGCAGGCTGTCCACTGCGGGCTCAGGCTCCCCACCCTGCTGCCCTCCCCCAGGGCCTCCGCAGCCCAGCAGGTGAGACTTGGCACAGAAGGGTGGAGAAGCCCAGTGCTACTGTTGTGAGCCCTGCACCACCATGGTGAGGTACCCCCTGTTCACCCAGCAGCAGCAGAGGTGGCCATGCGGAGTAGTATCCATCTCTGCTGTCAGCCAGGTAGGTGTCTCCTTACCATGGCGGCGTGGAGCTCCCAGTGGCAATAAACTTCCCCACTCAGCCGTGCTGCACCGGGTCTCATCTGCTGGGCTCCAGAGGCCCCGGGGGAGGACAGCAGGGTGGGGAGCCCAAACCTGCAGCAGGCAGCTTGCATCTATTTCCCCTGCCCCAGCCCCTGCTTCCGCTCTGGTTGTGCCACCTAAGGGAGAGGGGGAATGGGCTCCATGCTCCACTGCAGCAGCTGCCACCTCCTACATGCAGCAGCCAGGTCTTGCTGTGGCTGGGAATTATGGGGCACCCAGCTGGGCTGGTGGGGGCTGTGCATCATGAGGGAGGGGCAATGGCACGGGCAGGGTACCAGCATATCAGGGCTGCTCAGTACCACAAAGCAGTGGGAGAGGGACAGCTGCACCTGGACCTGCATCCTGGTGAGTGAAGAGGGCAGGGGGAACTCTGATTTTCCATGATAAAAAACCCAAAAATCAAATGCCAAAATTTATAGGTATTTTATAATTTATTTTATAATAGAGATCAAGGCACTGGTAGGCTTCCAGATTGCTTAAAATTGTAAATATACCAATATCAGGTTCAACTGATACCTATATATTAGTGGTGTTTCATTTTAACCATGGAAAAGTGCAGATTTTGGTGTTTTTAAAATTAGAGAATTTGCAAAATTTTTAAATCAGAGAAGTTGCGATTTTTAAAGAAAGCAAGCCAGGATGCCTGATCATAAGTAATTTGAACAAGAAAGAAAGAAGTGTACAGGATGAACCCTTAAGTGACATGTTACAGTACTGTATGGATAATAGTAAACCAGTGGGAAATACGAGAGTAATAAAAGGAGACTAGATAAACTAAGCTGATGTCCTTTATCAGCCCCAATTTACCAGCATCTGTATGAATTAGTTAGGGTTGGGCAGAACCCTTATGTGGGTCAACATGGACACAAAATGTATTAATATAAACAACATGATATAAACATAATTCATTACACCACATACAAAGAACTGCTCACTCACTAGTTGCCCCAGTCAACATCCTTTTTTGTGCAACTAACTCTGCCTCTGGCTCCATATTCCTGATCTCAAGGGAACTTTGAGATCACTCTGATGCTACAGTTGAGTCTATTTTCTTCGCAGGAAGAGATCTTCAGCCACAGCCTGGAGTCACAGTGATTATCCCAACACACTTGTGCCAAATCTGCAACAACTTCATCTTCTTCAAGCAGCAACTGACGCCACTTGCAATTCAGTCACTTTATCCAAAATCCCCTTGTGGAATCAAGGCTGGATAGTGGAGCAGTTTTCAGCATCTTGTGACAGTCATCCTGGAGAGTAACTGGGCTATTGGTCTAAGAGGTTACTCGACCCAAAAGCCACACTCACATCAGCATTCCAGCAGTCTAAAAGAACTGGATAATCCCACTTGTATTTACAGCTGGACAAGTATTGACTTTCTGGTTAAACACTGAGATAGTGCTTTGCCTCTTGCACTCCATGCCTGCTCTGCCTCCAACATACCAGTGAACTTGTTATAAAGGAAAAATTTCATGCTGAGCATTAAGACTGGATAGGAAGTGTCCATCTCACTTGCAGCAGTGTTTGAGGGAGACTTGCATGGCATGTACCATTTCAATCAGCAGTTACTTGACACATTTTAAACTTGCTTTTTTGACTAGTGCAGACAACCTCAAATGAGGAAGAGGTTTCAACCATCTATTGCAAAACAATAACCAAGCTTTCAACACAAAAAGATGTTTGTATACTGTAGCATACAAATATTTCACCAGTTACGTATTGCTTCCTTTCACCACTCAAACCATGCTGGGTGCTAACCACTTCAAACAACTTGTTTTGAGACACCTTCCTCCCCAGGCCCAACAAGTGCAAAGGACTGAGTGGACTTTTTTTTCTTTTTTTTGATCAATCCCTAGATTTTGAGAAATTCTACACAGGCTGTAAGTTATTATGTTTATAAAAGAAAGACACTGAAGTTTAGTGGAGAAACTAGCTCTGCTAGGGCTAGAACTTAATTGATGAACTGTTTCCATTAAATATTTAATAGCATCACTGGTTAGGAACAGTGACACCAAAAGCTGAACAAGCAACTCCTCTAAAGGAGAGAGAAAAATAGCACTTGTAAATGGTGGCGTCTTTAAAGGTCAAAGAAAGGTCCAACGACTATAGGCAAGACAGCAGAAATCAGGATTCTTGGGATTCTACCCACACCTCTGTCAATGACCAGCTGTGTGGTCTCAAGGCAGTTACTTAAACTCCTGGTGTTTCTGTAAAATGGGACCAAGGATGCAAGCCTCGGGTGGCTTAGTCAATCATTATCTTCATATCAATCATGATCTGAAGTGCATACACAAAGCTAAAAGCAAAGTCAGCAGAAGGTCACACATGCACCCCAAATGGAATGGGCCATCTTTAGTCAAGCTAGAATGGTTAGGAAATGGAGGATAACATAAATCAAATTACTCTGAGCCAGGAGGTGGTACAACTGGCTACAAGCTACTGGATGCAGACAGAACCTCAGGAGAACAGGGAATTTATTTTACTAAAATTAAGAAGAGGAAATAGGGAGTTCCAGTCCTTTTGAATTCCCTACCTTACCTGTTTGCGCATGGTATTCATGACTCCCATAAAGCTTGCCAACAGCTTAGCTTCTTCTCGGGCAGCGAGTTTCTTCTCTGTTTTCTTCTTGTTGCTTTTTTCTGACCCAGAGGCTGCCATGCTCCTCTCGTCTCACCACCAGGAAAACAAGGGCTGACCAGACCCGCACAGGCACATGCACTGCGGCTGGAAAACACCAGTTACAACACACCGAACTGCTGCAAACAGGAAGGCAGCCGGAAAAGCTGGACAATCCTCGCCCCACCCCGGGCAGCTGCGGGGCTGAACAATCCGCCAGGGCAGAACCGGCTGTCCCCTGGAAGGGGAAGAGGCTGAGCAATCACCTGCTGCGAAAGCCCAGGATCCAGGAAGAGCTGGGCCTTGCAGGCACCTACGGCAGAGGCCGGGGAACTCAGCCTGCCCCGGCGGGGGGGAGGGGGCCGCGGCCGCAGCGCCCTGGCGCAGGACACTCGGGACGCATCAATCGCCGACGGTCTGCCAATAGAACGCGACTCCTCCGCAGCGTTCCGGGGCCCGGAGGCGGACGGGGGGAGCCGCTGGGCGCACACTGACGTCACTGCCCGGCGCGCTCCATCCACACTCCCCTTCCTGCCGGCCCAGCGCGAGACAAACAAAGAACGGGGAGGGCCTGCGGTGGGTCACGTGACCGCGGTCTGCAGCAACCGGTGGAGATGGTTCGAGCGCGCAAGCGCCGACCTGGGACGGGCTGGCTGCGGGATGAGCTGGCGGCCGGGGCAGCGGTTTCGTCTCACAGCTGCAGCCCTCTGATAAGTCTGCGAGCTCTTGGAGGTCAACCTTGACCCCCAAGAGCTGGCAGAACAGAGCCTGGAGACTTGTCACAGTTCACCCCACTCGTGCTTCCATTCAGTGGCCTGGGCTGCAGTGCATCCCAGCAGCCCTGCAGGCTCCTACCAAGTTAGCTGCACAAAGCAACACGTTTTATTTACCCTCGTGAGCAGTGCCGGATTTAGGCACAAGCTAAGCAAGCTACAGTTTAGGGCCTCACATTTTGAGGGGCCTTTAAGTGTCAGCTGCCGGACCGGAAGTGATCACGGATCAACAAACCGCAGCCCTGCAGACCTGGGCAGAGAGGCCATGACTGACTCTTTCCACAGGGCTCGTGGTTGAGGTTTGGCCTACCCCCCTGCCCAGGGGGTGGAAGTACCTTTACCTGTGCGTAGTGGTCTGCAGTTTGCTGGGCGGCAGCATGGAAAGATTGGGAGCCCCTAGTTTAGAACCCCGCCCTATCATAATCCGGCCCTACTCCTGAGATGACCGTCCATTTCATTATAAAACAGGAACCCTCTGGCATCATTGGGTGCATGGAGGGAACCGGGTCTGATTCGTCTTGGCCATACAACTGCACTTCTCCCTCAGTTTTACCTTCTGGATATAGCACACCATCTAGTCCACCTCAATAATGCATGTTCCAAATGGTGGAGCAACAAAGCAGCTGGTTCCAAGTTTTGCTGTTCCTTGGGGCCAAGATGTGGCCAGGTCTAGGGCTTTCATTTTCTGGTCAGTGAAAACTGGGGTTAATGCTGGCAGCATGCAGTTTTTATCTACTTACATTTCACTTCTATCTGTTAGTATAAAGGACTGTACGCATAACTCATTTTTCAGTCTGGCCACCAAATGAAAAGACAGAAAAAAGATTCGGAGCAAATGGAATTCCCCCCACCCTCCTGCCCAATAATTAAAACCTATCAAATATTTTTTTTGTTCAATACAATATATTCCTTTCGACTTGAAACAAAATATTTCATTTTGGGCCTTGTAAGAAAAGTAAATAAAGAGACAGGTTCACAAAACCTCTGGGAAAGAAGTCTAAGTAGCAGTGATCTCAACCAGGGGCTGTGACACCCTGGGGTGTTGTGAAGTCATTTTCAGCGTGCTGTGGTATGCTGTTCAATATTAGCTCTGTTAGGTATGCAAACACCTACACAGAACTGACAAGATAAACCCAGAGAGCGTGTCCACACATGCAGGCATGTGCGCTTGCAGCAGCTCAAATAGCAGCAGCACTAATTTGTGCCAGAGATTTGTGCCTCAGCATGCCTGAACATGCATTTTGGTGTGGGTCAAGTTGTGCCACTTGGAGCAAACTGACCCTGCCCAGCTCCTCCTGGATCTTCAGCCGGGGGAGCTAGAGCCTGGGGCCAGCACCAGTATAAAAAGGTGCCCTAGTGAGTAGCTCAGCTCTACTTACTCTCAGGAGCTTCTGGGAGGAAGTTGGCCATGCCCCTTCCTGTCCCAGGCTGCTGTTGCTGCTGCTGCAAGCTTGGTCTCAGGAGCTTCTGGGAAGAGGATGGCCAGACCCTTTCCTGCCCCTGGCTACTGCTGGCTTGGTGTCTCAGCTTTTAGGAGTAAGTTGGCCGCATCGCTTCTTGCCTTGAGCGGCAGCGGCGGCTGCTGCTGCTGCCCTCCCATGGGGGGGTCCTCTGCTGCCTCTCCTTGGGGAGGGGTCCACTGCACTACACCCCATCTTCTGGCCTGCTGCCTAGCCTGCCACCAAGCTATGGTCAGGGGACAGCCTGGGGAGGGAGACTGTGCTGCCTGTGGGCCTCTCCCCCACCCTCATTGCCAGAGCCTAAAGGTGCCTTGCTTGCCCCAGCTGCCTTGGCAGGCCACCCCTACCTTCACCTCCACTCTCACCAGAAGCACACCCTGAGTGGCTGAACTGAATGGTTCCTACCATCACTGTTGCTGCTGTCTTGTTTGCTGCTGCCCCCCCCCCAGGAGACAGGCAGATTCCCTGCTGCACCACCTTGCACCGCTCAACACCACACCTGCACCAGACTACTGCCCAGTTTACTGATTGCTCCTGCCCTCCCTCACAGCTGCCTCATGGCATTTGATCCTGCTTTGTTTCCCTACCTGCTGTACTGCTGCTGAGTGACTAGCTGGAGGCCTGAGGGGCTCCTGAGCTGTTCTCCAACAAACAAAGCCACTCCACCGCTCCAGCCATCTTTTACATCTGCCTCCGCACCCTTCCCTGTGTATTTTGCCCTTGTGTGGTAAGTCCTGTGGTCCACTCCCCCTGCCCTGGTGTTTGTTGTGTGGCTGAGTAAGTCAGTTCAAGTCTCCCAAGCCCTTGTTTGTATGTGTTCCCCCCTCCCCCACATTCCCTAAGCATAGCCCTCCCAGCTCTTTTCCTGTGGCGATGTAGCTCAGTGAACTTTAGTCCCCTTCCCCAGCCTGCCCCTACTGGATTCACCAGCCCCACTGTACTTCTTTGGGTTTCTTTTTTGGTTTCTCCTTCCTGATTGAAGCAATGGCAGGGCAGGAAACTTCAGGGGGGGAGGAGATTCCTCCATAGAACTTCCTGCAGCCCCCACTATGGGGGCAGATCCCAGCCAAGCCTCAAGGGGATGCATGCCCCTGCAGCCCCCACCCGGTGGCAGAGTCCAAAAGAACTCCTCCAGGGGTAGAGAAGCCTGAGACCTCTGCTGTGGGGGCAGCTGAGACTCCAGCAGGCCCCCAAAGGAGTTCCCAAGCTCCCTTCCCCACCATCAGGGGCAACGACAGTGGGAAGGGCTCCACAGCTGGGGGTGAGAAGGGCAAGGGCTGTGCCCCCAAGCCTAGACCTGAGGGTGCACCCACTCAGCCTGTCCCTGACCCTAGCTCTGGCCCCACCAATGGAGCCCCCAGTGGGGGAACCAAAGCTATGCACAGGTGGCTGCGGGGTGACCCACAGCTGTGGGGCCTCGACCCTCCACTGCTAGCCTTTCCAGCTTCGGCAGCAGGGTGAAGTGCCAACTGCCCAGGCGGGAGACCCTGCATTTTGTGACCTGGGTGCAGGCCCTGGCTTGGGTAGTGGGGGCCCCCAAGATTGTGGTGGCCTCTAGCTTTCATGGCAAAGGGGTCTTTTTCCTTGCCTCGGAGGCTGCTTGCACAAAAGGCGGTGGAGAGGGACAGCGTGGTGGAGGGCGAATATTTCTCCTTCGAACCTCTAGAAGGAGAAATCCCACCTTATATCCTCAATTGGGCCCTGCTCCCCCATCTCCAAACCCTGGGGAGAGTTATCTCCCTGGTGGTGGCCAACACCCCAGCCTCCACCACCTGTGCTCATTCCATCATCAGGTCATGATCCAACTGGTGGCAGGAGCACAGCTGGAGACTGAGAGCAGCCTCATAATTACTTTTCGGAGGGGCCCTAGTGAGGATTTCTATACACTAGGGGACCTGGGGTGCTTTTGGTGCCATGCCCTGAGGCACTTGCATCATGAGTGCCCGATGGGTCAGGTGGGGAGAATGTCCATAGGTCCCACTGGCAAAAGGGGTGCCCCTGCCACCAGCCCCCCTCCATGAGCTCAGGGGACCCTGTCCCCCAACCAAGTTATGGCAGAGTCCTGGGAAGGGGGGCAGCAGCCAGGGGAAGAGGGAGGGGGCCCCCCCTGCCCCTGGCTGTCCCCCACTGTAACTGCCTCCCAACCCCAGCCCCTTCTACTGGAGCCTGTCCACCTGAGGACTGCCCATGGCTGAGTGGGTGCAGGTCCCCTTCAGGTGCAAAGCCAAGAGTGGCCTGGATGCAGCTGGAGCCCTCTGACGTAGAGGACCACCCCCATGCTCCCCAAGACCATCACATGGGGAGAAGGAGTGATTCAGCTTCTGGGGGCTTCCCCATCTGTGCCTGACACCCCACCCCCAGGGAAGATTAAATGAATTATCCCAGTAAAGGAGGCTTTAGGACTGCTGAACACTCCTGAACAGGGGCCCATGCAGGAAGGCTCTTGCTCCACTGGCTAGGGCCTGCCCACTTTGACCAAGTGCTGAGGCTGACCCAGAGGAAGGTTTGGCAGCAGAACCCTCCCCCTGTGATCTGGGGGGAAATGGGGGGGGGGGGG